CTATAGACTAGACTATAGACTAGACTATAGACTAGAACTATAGACTAGACTATAGACTAACTATAGACTAGACTATAGACTAGACTATAGACTAGACTATAGACTAGACTATAGACTAGACTATAGACTAGACTAGACTAGACATAGACTAGACTATAGACTATACTATAGACTAGACTATTAGACTAGATACTATAGACTAGACTATAGACTAGACTATAGACTAGACCTATAGACTAGACTATAGACTAGACTAAGACTAGACTATAGACTAGACTATAGACTAGACTATAGACTAGACTATAGACTAGACTATAGACTAGACTATAGACTAGACTATAGACTAGACTATAGACTAGACTATAGACTAGACTATAGACTAGACTATAGACGAACTATAGACTAGGACTATAGACTAGACTATAGACTGGACTATAGACTAGACTATAGACTAGACTATACTAGACTATAGACTAGACTATAGACTAGACTATAGACTAGACTATAGACTAGACTATAGACTAGACTATAGACTGACTATAGACTAGACTATAGACTAGACTATAGACTAGACTATAGACTAGACTAGACTATAGACTAGACTATAGACTAGACTATAGACTAGACTATAGACTAGACTATAGACTAGACTAGACTATAGACTAGACTAGACTATAGACTATACTATAGACTAGACTATAGCTAGACTATAGACAGACTATAGACTAGACTCTAGACTAGACTATAGACTAGACTATAGACTAGACTATAACTAGACTATAGACTAGACTATAGACTGACTATAGACTAGACTATAGACTAACATAGACTAGACTATAGACTAGGACTATAGGACTAGACTATAGCCCTAGACTATAGACTAGACTATAGACTAGGACATACTAGACTAGACTACTATAGCCTAGACTATATACTAGACTAGACTTAGACTAGACTAGACTATAGACTAGACTATGACCTAGAGACTACTGACTAGACCTACTAGACTATAGACTCTAGACTAGACTATAGGACTAGATATAGGACTAAACTATAGACCTAGACTATAGACCTAGACTATAGAACTAGACTATAGTACTAGGACTATAGCCCTAGACTATAGACTAGACTATAGACTAGACTATAGACTGACTATAGACTAGACTATAGAATAGACTATAGACTAGACCTATGAGACTAGCTAATAGACTAGGACTAGAGACTAGACATAGACATAGCCTAAGACTAGACTATCCAGACTAGACTATAGACTAGACTATAGGACTAGACATAGACTAGACTATAGACTAGACTATAGACTAGACTATAGACTAGACTATAGACTAAGACTATAGACTAGACTAAGACTAGACTATAGACTAGACTATAGACTAGACTATAGACTAGACTATAGACTAGACTATAGACTAGCTATAGACTAGACTATAGACTAGACTATAGACTAGACTATGACTAGACTATAGACTAGACTATAGACTATGACTATAGACTAGACTATAGACTAGACTATAGACTAGACTATAGACTAGACTATAGACTAGACTATAGACTAGACTATAGACTAGACTATAGACTAGACTATAGACTAGACTATAGACTAGACTATAGACTAGACTATAGACTAGACTATAGACTAGACTATAGACTAGACTATAGACTAGACTATAGACTAGACTATAGACTAGACTATAGACTAGACTATAGACTAGACTATAGACTAGACTATAGACTAGACTAGACTATAGACTAGACTATAGACTAGACTATAGACTAGACTATAGACTAGACTAGACTAGACTAGACTATAGACTAGACTAGACTATAGACTAGACTAGACTATAGACTAGACTAGACTATAGACCAGACTAGACTATAGACCAGACTAGACTATAGACTAGACTATAGACTAGACTATAGACTAGACTATAGACCAGACTATAGACTAGACTATAGACTAGACTATAGACTAGACTATAGACTAGACTATAGACTAGACTATAGACTAGACTATAGACTAGACTATAGACTAGACTATAGACTAGACCATAGACTAGACTATAGACTAGACTAGACTATAGACCAGACTAGACTATAGACCAGACTAGACTACAGACTAGACTATAGACTATAGACTAGTCTATAGACTAGTCTATAGACTAGACTATAGACTAGACTATAGACTAGACTATAGACTAGACTATAGACTAGACTATAGACTAGACTATAGACTAGACTATAGACTATAGACTAGACTATAGACTAGACTATAGACTAGACTATAGACTAGACTATAGACTAGACTATAGACTAGACTATAGACTAGACTATAGACTAGACTATAGACTAGACTATAGACTAGACTATAGACTAGATATAGACTAGACTATAGACTAGACTATAGACTAGACTATAGACTAGACTATAGACTAGACTATAGACTAGACTATAGACTAGACTATAGACTAGACTATAGACTAGACTATAGACTAGACTATAGACTAGACTATAGACTAGACTATAGACTAGACTACAGACTAGACTATAGACTAGACTACAGACTAGACTATAGACTAGACTATAGACTAGACTATAGACTAGACTATAGACTAGACTATAGACTAGACTATAGACTAGACTATAGACTAGACTATAGACTAGACTATAGACTAGACTATAGACTAGACTATAGACTAGACTATAGACTAGACTATAGGCTAGACTATAGACTAGACTATAGACTAGACTATAGACTAGACTATAGACTAGACTATAGACTAGACTAGACTATAGACTAGACTAGACTATAGACTAGACTAGACTATAGACTAGACTAGACTAGACTATAGACTAGACTAGACTATAGACTAGACTATAGACTAGACTATAGACTAGACTATAGACTAGACTATAGACTAGACTATAGACTAGACTATAGACTAGACTATAGACTAGACTATAGACTAGACTATAGACTAGACTATAGACTAGACTATAGACTAGACTATAGACTAGACTATAGACTAGACTATAGACTAGACTATAGACTAGACTATAGACTAGACTATAGACTAGACTATAGACTAGACTATAGACTAGACTATAGACTAGACTATAGACTAGACTATAGACTAGACTATAGACTAGACTATAGACTAGACTATAGACTAGACTATAGACTAGACTATAGACTAGACTATAGACTAGACTAGAGACTAGACTATAGACTAGACTATAGACTAGACTATAGACTAGACTATAGACTAGACTATAGACTAGACTATAGACTAGACTATAGACTAGACTATAGACTAGACTATAGACTAGACTATAGACTAGACTATAGACTAGACTAAGACTAGACTATAGACTAGACTATAGACTAGACTATAGACTAGACTATAGACTAGACTATAGACTAGACTATAGACTAGACTATAGACTAGACTATAGACTAGACTATAGACTAGACTATAGACTAGACTATAGACTAGACTATAGACTAGACTATAGACTAGACTATAGACTAGACTATAGACTAGACTATAGGACTAGACTAGACTACTAGACTAGACTATAGACTAGACTATAGACTAGACTATAGACTAGACTATAGACTAGACTATAGACTAGACTATAGACTAGACTATAGACTAGACTATAGACTAGACTATAGACTAGACTATAGACTAGACTATAGACTAGACTATAGACTAGACTATAGACTAGACTATAGACTAGACTATAGACTAGACTATAGACTAGACTATGGACTAGACTATAGACTAGACTATAGACTAGACTATAGACTAGACTATAGACTAGACTATAGACTAGACTATAGACTAGACTATAGACTAGACTATAGACTAGACTATAGACTAGACTATAGACTAGACTATAGACTAGACTATAGACTAGACTATAGACTAGACTATAGACTAGACTATAGACTAGACTATAGACTAGACTATAGACTAGACTATAGACTAGACTATAGACTAGACTATAGACTAGACTATAGACTAGACTATAGACTAGACTATAGACTAGACTATAGACTAGACTATAGACTAGACTATAGACTAGACTATAGACTAGACTATAGACTAGACTATAGACTAGACTATAGACTAGACTATAGACTAGACTATAGACTAGACTATAGACTAGACTATAGACTAGACTATAGACTAGACTATAGACTAGACTATAGACTAGACTATAGACTAGACTATAAATAATGGTAATTTCAATAAGTGTTTTTCCAACATTTTGCGAAAGTATAAATAATTTTCCATTATAGTTTTCCATAATATTGTTAATAATCATAATTACAGTAAATGCTCAAAATCGTAAGAATATTGTAATATTAACCACACTGTTTTAGCATAAACATAAACATATTTTTAGTGTTGCCAATCATTGTTCTTAAACTACTACTTAAGGGTTGTTGTCTTTGCTAGACAGTTTTATAACATATGGCCATTTGAAATTGTAAGCAGAGCATAGCAAACAGATGTCTTTGAGTTTCCAGAATGTCAAATCACATATGAAAAACATTTTATATACATATCTTGAAACCACATAGAAATATTCGCTGTCACCTCAACATTCAAGTTGTTATGAGAAATATTCAACATTCACACAAACGCTGAAATATGGCGATCAAATAAGGAACATTTTGTTAATGGGTTATCTCCGATACTAAGTTTTGTAAGCTTTGATTTTCAAAGGCCTTTCAAATAGGAGTTTTTCCAGGCAAAAAATATATAAAAAGATACCGGGTATTTACCAAATGGATATTTACCCTTTTGCCATCTCTATAACAACTTTATTTAGTCTGGCAGCTTAAAAGTCAGCATAACAGCTGTGTTAACATATGTCTGACAGCTGTTAAGAAGTTTCACTCTCTTTTTCAGTTTCAATTCTCTGTTATTGTTTTCTTGTTTTTGCTAGAAAAAAAAGCAATTTCGCAATTTAATTTTGTTTACTAAACAATTGAATACTAAATTTAATATTTTGGCAATTGCGCATTACAAAAAAACATAAACAAAACAGAGTATAATTTTGCAAAAATGAAATAAAACACAAAAGAAACGTCAGAAACTACCCTTTTGGAAAAAGAGGAAAAGAAAAGACAACTACTCCACCAAGGTAGAGATTTTTTTGTACCAACCAAAGCAAATTGGAGAGCAAACATTTAACAAAGAAAAGTTGTTGAAAGCAGACGGTTTTTATTCATAGTCATAGAAATAAATTCATAAATTGACAAAAAATTAACATTATTTAGCTAAAAAAGAAAATATAAAAAAGTGTATTTTTAAAATGTTAAAATATTTATAAAAAACTAAAATTAAATCCAAACAAATAATAATGTGGTGGTGATAACTAACAAAGACAAAAGGCGACAATTCCTAAGGTGTCCACTACAAAATTCTAAAGTTTTTTTTTGGAAAGTTTTTTTTTTCTCTATAACCACAATAAACCTCAAGTTTTGGTAACAATTTTAAGTCCCTTACGGTTTAGGAATAGAAGACACAGCTATAACATGTCCTTGGCCAGTGCAGCAGGAGTCTTACTTAAGCCTCAAACGCCTCTACAGCAATTGTTGGAAGACATTAATTTTCAACGCAACAAAGAAATGAGACAATTGCTCAAAGATGGTAAGTTTCAAAAGAATTTTTAATTCTTTTCAAATTACAAATTTTATCTTTAAATTTAGTTGATTTTTTTTAACATGAAAAAAATGTAGAAATTTTTTCTTTAAAAAGTTGTCTACATTTGCACATTATCGATTATTCCAGCCAGTTCTACGACAATCAACCACCCACCTGAAAATGCACATCATTCTTTCTTATTCAGTTAAAATTTTCTGGTTTTGTTATGGTTGGCTTTTTGTTGTTTTTATCATGATTGTTTTTATCTCAACTCTCTAATTCTCTTTCTAATTATTTTAAGGGTTGTTCTACGCAAATTATGTTTTTTATTCGCTTCTGTTTTGATTATTCGATTTGAGGGTAATTAATTGTATTCTTTGTTTTTATTGCGAAATTCGTAAATAGTGTATGTGTGTGAAGATGCGATAAAGAAAGAGAGTGAAAGTGTAATATTTATATATGTGTATAAGAAAGAAATAATTCTTAAAACGCTTCAAGACGTACATACCTCGAATGCCCTACTGTCGCAGCTGACAAGTTTGTTAATATAGTCCATAATTTTAACAATAGTTAATTCTATATTATTGGCTATAGTATAGCCTACGTTATTGACTACAGTTCCTTCTACTTTTGTGTGGTCTAAAGCCTAGAGTATAGTTTAGTCTATCCTAGGTATATTCCAGTCTGTAATATTGTCTCGTTCATTTAATAGTATTGAAGACTATAGGTCAGTCTATGATCTTGTCTGGTCTATAGTCTAGTCTATAGCCTAGTCTACAGTCAAGTCAATAGTCTAGCCTTTAGTCTAGTCTATGGTCTAGTATATAGTCAGGTCTATTGTCTATTCTATTTAATAGGTTAGTTTATAGTCTAGTCTATAGTATATAGTCTAGTCTATAGTCTAGTCTATAGTCTAGTCTATAGTCTAGTCTATAGTCTAGTCTATAGTCTAGTCTATAGACTAGTCTATAGTCTAGTCTATAGTCTAGTCTATAGTCTAGTCTATAGTCTAGTCTATAGTCTAGTCTATAGTCTAGTCTATAGTCTAGTCTATAGTCTAGTCTATAGTCTAGTCTATAGTCTAGTCTATAGTCTAGTCTAGTCTAGTCTATAGTCTAGTCTATAGTCTAGTCTATAGTCTAGTCTATAGTCTAGTATATCGTCTAGTCTATAGTATAGTATATAGTCTAGTATATAGTCTAGTCTATAGTCTAGTCTATAGTCTTGTCTATAGTCTTGTCTATAGTCTAGTCTATAGTCTAGTCTATAGTCTAGTCTATAGTCTAGTCTGTAGTCTAGTCTATAGTCTAGTCTATAGTCTAGTCTATAGTCTAGTCTATAGTCTAGTCTATAGTCTAATCTATAGTCTAGTCTATAGTCTAGTCTATAGTCTAGTCTATAGTCTAGTCTATAGTCTAGTCTATAGTCTAGTCTATAGTCTAGTCTATAGTCTGGTCTATAGTCTAGTCTATAGTCTAGTCTATAGTCTAGTCTATAGTCTAGTCTATAGTCTAGTCTATAGTCTAGACTATAGTCTAATCTAAAGTCTAGTCTATAGTCTAGTCTATAGTCTAATCTATAGTCTAGTCTAGTCTATAGTCTAGTCTATAGTCTAGTCTATAGTCTAGTCTATAGTCTAGTCTATAGTCTAGTCTATAGTCTAGTCTATAGTCTAGTCTATAGTCTAGTCTATCTAGTCTATAGTCTAGTCTATAGTCTAGTCTATAGTCTAGTCTATAGTCTAGTCTATAGTCTAGTCTATAGTCTAGTCTATAGTCTAGTCTATAGTCTAGTCTATAGTCTAGTCTATAGTCTAGTCTATAGTCTAGTCTATAGTCTAGTCTATAGTCTAGTCTATAGTCTAGTCTATAGTCTAGTCTATAGTCTAGTCTATAGTCTAGTCTATAGTCTAGTCTATAGTCTAGTCTATAGTCTAGTCTATAGTCTAGTCTATAGTCTAGTCTATAGTCTAGTCTATAGTCTAGTCTATAGTCTAGTCTATAGTCTAGTCTATAGTCTATGTCTAGTCTATAGTCTAGTCTATAGTCTAGTCTATAGTCTAGTCTATAGTCTAGTCTATAGTCTAGTCTATAGTCTAGTCTATAGTCTAGTCTATAGTCTAGTCTATAGTCTAGTCTATAGTCTAGTCTATAGTCTAGTCCTATAGTCTAGTCTATAGTCTAGTCTATAGTCTAGTCTATAGTCTAGTCTATAGTCTGTCTATAGTCCTAGTCTATAGTCTAGTCTATAGTCTAGTCTATAGTCTAGTCTATAAGTCTAGTCTATAGTCCTAGTCTATAGTCTAGTCTATAAGTCTAGTCTATAGTCTAGTCTATATCTAGTCTATAGTCTAGTCTATAGTCTAGTCTATAGTCCTAGTCTATAGTCTAGTCTATAGTCTAGTCTATAGTCTAGTCTATGTCTAGTCTATAGTCTAGTCTAATAGTCTAGTCTATAGTCTAGTCTATAGTCTAGTCTATAGTCTTAGTCTATAGTCTAGTCTATAGTCTAGTCTATAGTCTAGTCTATAGTCCTAAGTCTATAGTCTAGTCTATAGTCTAGTCTGCAGTCTAGTCTATAGTCTAGTCTATAGTCTAGTTTATAGTCTAGTCTATAGTCTAGTCTATAGTCTAGTCTGCAGTCTAGTCTATAGTCCAGTCTATAGTCTAGTCTATAGTCTAGTCTATAGTCTATTCTATAGCTTAGTCTATAGTCTAGTCTATAGTCTAGTCTATAGTCTAGTCTATAGTCTAGTCTATAGTCTATTCTATAGTCTAACCTATAGTCTAGTCTATAGTCTAGTATATAGTCTAGTCTATAATATAGTCTATAGTCTAGTCTATAGTATAGTCTATAGTCTAGTCTATAGTATAGTCTATAGTCTAGTCTAGTCTAGTGTATAGTCTAGTCTATAGTCAAGTCTACAGTCTTGTCTATAGTTTAGTATATAGTCTAGTATAGTCTTGTCTATAGTTTAGTATATAGTCTAGTCTATAATCTATTCTATAGTGTAGCCTATGGTCTAGTTTATAGTCTAGTCTATAGTCTTGACTGTCTATGGTCCTGACAATAGTATTATATATCTGGACTTACTATTATAATTACTATTTAAATTTATTGAATTGCATATCATTTGTATCTCTTTTCAGACAGTGGTTTTGTTGTTTTACAAGGCACCACCTATTGGACAGATCTATTTGTACGACATTTTCTATTTCAATCGGAACCGGTGCATAGTATTGATTCGGATGATTTATTATTTTTTGTACGTAAGAAACATGTGAAAAGTTCTTCCCGACATATGCCAAAATATGAGGTAAGTAGAAGTGATTGAGTTACAGTATAAAGTAAAAGTTTACAAAATATATAAGAGCTGCTATAACGATTTAGATCAAAAAAGATATTCGGGATGTGAAATCAATTATTTGTTTATCGAAATGTCTAGCTCCGCCTGGTAGCTATGTAGGGTTATCTTCTAGTTTAGAGACATCCGTGTAGCAATAGCTTAACGTACGGGTTTGCTCTAATATTTCGCTTGACTTCGATCTCCCATCTGGGACCAATGTCTCACAGTTCTATTTCTGAAATGCGATCAGGCCTTTTCATATATTTGATCAAATATTACGAAATTTGCGTATAACGAGATTTTCAATACTGATATTTACACAAATGTTAATAATATGTTCAGTTTTTATAGAAGTAAATTAAGGGTTGTTCCACAGATCAATAAACTTTTTATTTAGCAAGTACATTTTGACTCGACAACTAGGAACCTGTTCTTAAATTCATTCAGTTTTAACATTTATAATTTCAAATTTAAAACATTTATAATTTTTTACTTTATTTTACTTATTTACTTTATCCCAATAAACCAAAGAACGATATGATAGCGAAAACGGTATTGCTTTTAAAGGGCGATTATGATATCATATTTCATTATTTAAAACGATATTATTATAATATCGTTTTATATTATTTTGTTTCCAATAAAAAAATTAAGAAAATACAAACATTTGAAAAAAACTTCAAACCTAAAAATAATTTCAATAAAAATTTTCGAACATAAGAAAACTAAAAAGGATATTAAAATAAAATCAACTAAATTATTGATAAATAATCCAAATAAATACGCGAATTTCGTTCGATACTTCAGTTTTGTGGTAAGTTGACATGTATGCAATTTTGAAAAGTTTCAGGTATTTGCAAGACAATGCATAATGTGATGAAAAATATGATTACTTTAAAATATGTATGTATTAATGTATGTATGTAAATATGTACAAATGAATGCAATCCTTCCCTTTTCATGCTTTTTTATATGTATAATAGCGAAATATTAAGTTAAATAGCGTTTTAAATGAAATTTTAAGAATAAAAGAGCATACAGAAAAAAAAACTGAAAAAGGCGATTTAACTATCATTATTTTTGGAAATTATGATAGCGAAAACGATATCATAATTTTATGGAAAAACGATATCATAAGGAAAGGTACCATTTAGTACGTAAATACTATCGTTCTCGATACGAGAACGACTATCACTTATGATATTTTTTATCACCTAAGTGATATCGTTTCGATATCGTTATAATATCGTTTGGTTTATTGGGATTTTTCCATTTTCATTTCAGACTGAGGTCGATGTTTTTCGCAAAGATTCCCGTAAACTACCCATTGGTGATCCCGATGTTGATTGGGAAGAAACTGTTTATCTCAATATGATCATACATCAATTTGATTACACTCTCACTCTGGCCATATGTACAAGAACTTCGCCAAAAGAATTGCAAGTATTAAGACGTCATTCGCAGCGTGTTTATGCTAGTCCAAGTAGAAGAAAAATGGATACCAAAGGAGAGGGTGAGGAAATAACATATCCTCATATCTGTTTTATGGTGGATAATTTTGATGAGGTAAGATTCAGTTTTCTTAAATAGTTAATATCAATAACTGTGTGATTTTATGTTTTCCAGGTTTTTAGCGATATTTTAGTAAGAGATGGTGAAATGGTTTGTGTAGAATTGGTGGCCAATGATAAAGATGGTGCTGTTCAGGGTGTTATATTTTTAGGTTCCATACGTTATGATGCTTTAAAGAAAGTTTATGATGCCCGGGTAAGATTTTGTTTATAGAAATTTTGTTCAATTTAAAAAAAAAATTTTGTAAATCCTTTAGCAATCCAGCTTAAGCTCAAAAGTAGCACAACGCATGTCTTTCGGCTTGTTTAGCAGTGGCGCGGGAGTTCAAACACGCTGTGAATTTGTTAGAATGAAGGGACCTCAGGGCAAGGGTCATGCGGAAATGGCAGTAACCAAACCTAAAGGCTCTGGAGTTGAAACACCCACCAGTGAACCCGGGTATTTTAATAAACTTAAAGTATTATTTTATTTAACTCTAATAATCTTCAATTTTCTAGTTTTTGTGCCACTGATATGTGGGACGATTGGGAAGAGGAAAACGATGATTATTGCACCTATCGCCATCAACGTCGTCTTAGTGATCCCAGTGCTAACCTCAATAATTTCTCACGTTATGCTTGGCGTACAAAAAATTCTTCCGATACCGCTTCTGGTTCTGCTGGCTCTAAGGCTCGTTCTGAAAATGAGGGCCTAGACTCGTTAGCCAATGAAGTTTCCGAAATTGAAGCTGGTGATTTAAGAGATGGTAATTATTTCATTCTTTTTTTAACTTTTAATATTTTTCAATATATGCTTTTTTGTGTTTTTATTTAATTTATTTTAGTAAAAATTTTTTATAAAACAAAAATATTTTGCATTTATTATGTTAAATTTTTTTTTTTTTCTTTAAATAGAAGTTGTTTACCATCTTCTATGTTGAAAATTTTCTTAATAATATAGACTATTCGATCACTTGCATTTATATAGGAAGACATTTGGAAAAAAAAAACCACAGACACCACCACTCACTCATTCACACTTTATCATAAAATATTTTTTTCTACTTTTAATTCAATAATTTTTAAAAAGCATGCAATATTTTTAAATAATTTATTAATATAACTTTTATATTTGTTGTTGTTTGTTTAATAACTTTGATTTTGTTGTAATTTAAAACAACTATTGGTTATGAATCCTTTTATAAAGTTGATTATATATGATGTACCTTCTTTCGTCCTTGAAACGGGGATCATTCAGATCAACAACAACTTTTAGTTGGTTTCCTTCAAAGCTTATAGACTTCTTCATCTTCTTTGTCAATGTTAAAGACTAATCATCTTTGACTGGAAATACTTATTCCTAATACATCAATCAGTTTAAACAACAAAAACTGACTGCAGGCGTTCATCCAGCTTTCATTTTTTTTAACGGTGATCATTATGATCTATAACAACTTTCTGTAAGATTCCACCAATGCTTATAGACTTCTTAATCTTTTTTGTCAATATTGAGTGATGATCATCTTCAGAACTTTAAAGAGTTTTTGCATTGCTGAAACACTAATCATTACGATCGATAATATTTGTCTCCAGTCTCATGGATTTCTTCAACCTCATTCTAATATTTATAGTTAATTATGCTTAGAATTTTAAGAGCCGGAAATGTACCAGCCTTCTTCAGTGAAATCGATAGCAATGCGATCGTTGACACCGCATTAGGAACGTTCACCCAGACTCATATATTATGTCCCCTGAACATTCATCCCTAAAATAGGAATCATTCCGATCGATGACAGTTGCCTGCAGCTGCCTTTAGGTTAGGGTTGATCATGGCCAGACCTTTAAAATGCGAGATCAATTCGATCGATGGCACCAACTTTCTTCGTTAAAATAGAGAGTAATGCGTTTGATTAGACCTCATTAGAAATATTCCTCCAGCCTTATAAACTATTTCACTTTAAAGAGTTCTGTCTGAAGATGTATATCTTTATCTCTGAAGTTGGAATCATTCCGATAACTAACAGATGCCTATTAAGGCCCATAGACCTCATCACCTTCAATGTTTAGGGCTGATCATGGCGTGACCTTTAAAAAAACGGGATCAATTCGATCGATATCAGCTCATTGGTAGTGTACATCCTTGTTCTGACCATCTCAGATACTTTTTTCCTTGTGGATGAAGATAAGTCAGAGATTCACCAGCTGTATGTCCTGAAATAGAGATTAAAACGAGCGAGGACAGCTGATTAAAAGTGTACATCGTGATACATAGACTTTTTAATCAGCTCTTTCAATGATGACGGCTTAGGTTGTTGTTGTTGTTGTAACAGCTAAAACTATACAATAATCTAGTTGGGGCATTGAGCCTGTTGCTCCATCCCGATCGTAGTTGTGCCAGAACTACTCTTGTTTTATGCGGCAGTTTATCTTCCGCGTCTGCTATGGGCGGTGTGCGACCTCCAAGTACGACATTCATGCGGTATCCAGCGACCGCGGAATTTATGGCGTCTTTATGATTGTCGTTCAAAGCTGCCTCGGGGGAGCATCCAACTGTGTGATGTTAAAGTTGGGATGACTCCTCCGATGACATCCCAGGAGGAACTGTTTAGTCAACATAACATTGTGTTCCTTGACTGGAAACGAAGGTCCAAGTGCAGGTGATGTTCCGAGGTAATTTGTAAGCAGCCCGTTACAGTCCTTAGGGCGGCATTTGGCACCACTGGGTATCACTGATCGAAGCTGACCACACTGGAGCAGCATAATTAACCACTGACCGACCAATCGTTTTATATGTAGCTAACAAGGTTTCTTTATCCAAACCCCCAAGTGCTTAGGTCATCAGGTTGGGTCATGTTGTTCCCTTTGTGTAGACAGCTTCTTACTCAAATCTTCGAAACCGCTAGTTGGTGATGCCTTTTAATCAGAAAATGGCATCATTCTGATCGATGACGGCTACTTTCTCTGATCTCGTTCTGGCTTTCGCAGATTCTTTCTAAACTCATCTATTACTCATACTCAGCAGGTGGATCTACATCACCTTACGTTCCCACGACAATCGTTTCTTCGCACCGGAACGACTCGGTTCAACGACCAAGGATTGTCAACCCAGCCACACCGACTTTACACGTGTCGCTGCTACAACAACAACAACATCACCTTACAGACTGGACCAATTTTTTCGTACTTCTCGACATTCTGTCAATGTTTCGTTTTAATTACAATAAAGGACGCTATTTTATCCAAATAGGCAATAGATTTTCTTGTGACGCTCTTCTCCTTTGTTCGACCAGGATCATATTCCTTCCACAACGATCTTCCGAACAGGATTGGAGATCTTAATATCATTCGAGCTTTCTGTTTTTTCTTTAACTCAACTTAGAGGACCCTTTAACAGATAATACAGTGATATCGTACTCCTCATGCTTAGAGAGCAGAGCGACTTCCTCCTTTAAGTGCCATCAGTGTCAGCAAATGAACTTTTTGCTCCTTGGTTTCGCAGAAAAAGATTGTTCGTATGAGTAGATCCCTCTGCAATGATCTTCATACTCAGAGAGGAGAGTCATAACTTTTAATATCTGAATGGCACTTTTTTAGCAAAGGACTCCTACGATAACTTTAGAAGACCATAATTATTCACCCACAATTCGAAATCTTTGGAAATTTGATTACTTTCGGTTAATTTAAGTGTACTTTTCAGTGAGAGAGGATATTCTTCTAACTTCTGAATGTCACTTCTTTTTATGGACTCTTACGATAACTCTAGAAGACCATATCTTTTAACTTCTGAATGCTTAGAGAGCAGAGTGAACTCCTTCTTTAAGTGCCATTGGTATCAGCAAATGAACTTTATGCTACTTGGTTCCGCAGAAAAAGATTGTTCGTATGAGTAGATCTCTCTGCAATGATCTTCATACTCAGAGAGGAGAGTCAACTCTTTTAGGATCTGATTGGCGCTTATATTAGCAATGGAATCCTACAATAACTCTAGAAGATCTTAATTATTCACCCACAATTCGGTTAATACAAGTTCCGTATTTCAGAAACAATCATTGTGGAATGAAGATCTACTTAAAGTGCTCTTCTCACTCAGAGAGTACATTCTTCTAACTTTTGAATGCCACTTCTTTTAGGACTCTTCAGATAACTCTAGAAGACCATATTTATTCACCACCTAATTGGAATCTGTGAAAATTTGGTTCTGTCAATATAAGTTCCGTATTTCAAAAACAATCGTTGTGAAATAAAGATCCACATAAAGTGCACTTCTCACTCTGATAGAAGAGTGAACTCTTTTAACTTCTTAATGCCACCTCCTTTAGAACTCTTACGATAACTCTAAAAGACCATGTTTATTCTCACTCTGATAGTAGATTCAACTCTTTTTAACTTCTGAATACTATCTCTTTTAGAACTTTTCGGATAACTATAGAAGATCATATTTATTGTAAATATTTCCTAAGGTATCCTTTTCAATAAAAATTTTATACAAAAATGTATAAATTCCTTTTTAAGAACATCTGCATCAACTATCGAAACGCTCATAACTTTATAATCCTTTTATTATTTAAATATATAGTTTTATGAATTCCTTAATTTGTTTTTTTTTTTTTAATTAAATAGCTTTTTTTCACTTCAAATTATTTATATTCAAATTACTTATTTATTATTAACTTGCTGCTGCTTTTGTAAATTTATTTAAACAAATTCTTAATGTTTTCCTCTATCCTTTTATACCAAAAAAAAAAACAAAAACCAAAAAAAATTAAATTTTTATTAAACACCATACAATTTATTATAAACCTTCAACACTTATTTTATACATATTTTCTTAATGTAAATAAAGAAAATATATTTTTTTGAAAAACTAAACCAAAAAAAAGTAAAAAAAAAAGAAACTCTATATAGATTTGCCGAGAAAGCAGGACTCATCTGAAACTTAATCTCTCTTTAAAAACAATGTAGAGATTTTGAATGCATAAAAACATTATTCTCCAATTCCCAGTATTTGTTTTCTTTAAGTATTATTTTCAATATTTTGTTTTTCTTTTGTCCGAAAGTAAATATTTAAATATATATATTTTTTTTATTAGCTGAAATGCATTTTTCCTTTAAATTTTATTTAAAACTATTACTTTTGTTTACTTTTGTAGAAACTTCTTTTATTTTTAAATTAACAATATAAATAAAATAATTATTAATACTCTTATAGTTTAATAAGAAAAAAGCTAAATATTTATAAAAATTAAGCTTGTTTTTGAGCCTTTCTCAAGTTGCCTAATCTTCTTTTCCAATTTACTGTAAAAATAAAGCAAGATGATTGAAAAGTTTTAAGTGTGAAAGAATAGAATCTGAGAACCCTTTTCTCTAAAAATTTAAATGAATATATTTATTATAAAGTAAATTTATAGCTTTATTATACATTTATAAATATTTATCTGCTAGTAACCCGGAATCTAATACACTCACCATTCGAAATGTTTGGCACCTTAGTTAGGGATGACCGCATTCGCCGTGATATCATTGATAAACCTTTAGACCAGCTTGACTATAGGTATAGATTCGAATATAAATTTTAAACCAGCCTGTTAAACGATACCCTGATTTAAGAGTTTGAATTAATCTTTTGTTCCCTAGGTTAGGTTAGGTATTCAGGCTGCAAAGACGCACACTTGGGTCCTGTTGGTCCCTTTGTGATACCTGTAAAGATAGTAAAATATAAAAGAAAGAGAGTAGAGGGTAGTAGAATATAGTTTAGGATTAAGTCATAGAAGAGAAGTTGAAGTGGAGGAGAAGATTGAAAGCTCTATCCTTGTGGACTGGTGAGTGCCTTAATTATGGCTTGGTGGTCCTAAAACCAGTTACTGTGCCTGATGAAGGCATTTATGTTATCCAGTCCTAGACTGGATAGTTCTGACAAATCATCAAATAGTCGTTTTCCCAGATATACGGATCGAGTATCTGCTAGCGCAGGGCATTGACAGAGAAGATGTTCAATAGACTCTTCCTCCTCTTCGTCTTGACAACTTCTACAGCAGTCGTTGTGGGGAATTCCAAGTCTTCTTGCATGGTTTCCCAATAAGATATGCCCCGTAATGACAGCAACAAGGTTGCTGATATGAGGGCGGTTTAGTTGCAGAAGATATGACGTGCGTTTACTGTCCAAATTTGGCCATATCTCCCTGGTATTGATACAAGTTGGTTCATTTCGCCATCTTGTCTGAGAAATTTCATAGAACTTTCCATCTATTATGGTCTTGCAGGCTTTTAGCGGTATTCCGCAAAAGATGTCTATGTCCCTGTCGGACATTGAGGCTCCTAGTTTCGCTAATTCATCAGCGATATAGTTGCCAGTCAAATCCCCGTGTCCCCGTACCCATTTGAGCACGATTTTTTTGTTCCCTATGTGCAATATAAAAGATTTAGTACCATCAGTGTATATCATATATGAGACATCATCAAGTATTGACTCCATCGCATTTAGGCTGTAATAACCAATATTGTCTGGTAATTCCCTGTGATCATTTGGTTGATCACATGATCATTCAGATTAGAAGATTAGATTTGGACTAGACATGATCATTAGATCGAAAAGGAGAAATCCTTATCAGAAAATTGTTTTTAGGGTGCAACACGGTCTGGGAGTCCCCATAGATATTGAATATGATCACTTCTCGACAAAGACATTAAGTATAAACTCATGTCCAGATTGAGTGATTGATAGTTTTTTGATTTAGTTTAACATAAATTGCACCCGATATTCTTTTTGCTCCCTCTGTGATATCTGAAACGATATAAAAACTTGGAAAAGCAAAACATTATAGAAAGGAATGCAGGATTTCAATTTATAGTAGAGCTTCTGTTCCGAAGTCACTATAGTGTCTCATATATCACTACTTCTTGTGACACTATAAATCTACATTAGTTACTCTGAGGATATGATAATCAATGACTCCTAAGAAACCTTTAATGCTATCAAAAGGTGCTGTTCCGAAGTCACTACAGTGTCTCATATATTACTCCTTCTTCTGACACTATAAATCAACATCAGTTACTCTGAGGAGATGATAATCAATGACTCCTAAGAAACCTTTAATGCTATCAAAAGGGGCTGTTCCGAACTCACTACAGTGTCTCCTATATCACTCCTACTTGTAAGACTATGAATCCATATCAGTCGCTCTGGGTCTCTTCACTCATATAAGTAGACTATTAAATGATTTGAACTCCTGTTTAAACAACAAACGATATTTCAGTCTGAAGAACTCTGCAACCAATTTGAAGTGTGAAAGTCATCTTGACCCCAAATTCCAAACATTGCTCACTCTCCTTTTAGAGTTCTGCGTTAATATAGACAAACTATGTGAAAAGAAACTTTCCGGGTAACTCACATTTTTTGAGATCACGAATCCAAAGTGGCGTCTACGATCACGAAACCAAAGTGGCGTCTACGTTAGCCATTCCACCGCAAGATAATTTGGAAGACCTAGTTGGATTGCTCTAAACTGGAAAAAAAACGGATCTGGGGATCAATAATGAAAACCCAGATATCGAAATATATTACCGTCTATCTTATCACAACACGGAACAGACTTTGTTTAAGACATTTAGAGCAAATATCACTTGATGAGTCTAAAGACCGTAAGAGAACAATAACCGAACACTCTTCAGTTGCAAACTATATTGCATACGGGTACAACCCCACTCGGGGATAATCGCAAATGATAGAACATATGTACTTACGACATTTCCAAAAATATTTGCTATGGAAAGGAATGCACAACATAGGGTCTATTATGTCATTATTAGCTTCAGTAATCCAGGCAACTAGAAGCATCTATCATTATGTATAAAGTATTAATTTGACTTCTTCTGAAACTAAATTGTTAAAAGGAATACAACTAAAGTGAACAAGGATAATTTTTTTCAAACTACATCAATCCAAGTAGTAAGGTAACCCTTCTCGTAGTGCGGTGATCCTGTGTTGATAATTCTGCTGCTTTACGTGCAGATTATCCAAAACATTCTTAACAGCTTTAGCCTTCGACATTTTAGGTATTGCTAACGATTCTTTCCTATTTTGAATATCGATCCGAGTTAGTTTCCCTTATTCAAAGTAATCTCTGGACTTACTTTGCAGAGACAGTCCACGAGCATTGGATAAATGATCTGGTATCCTTCAGATTTGATTGATTCTTTATCACATCATGAAACTGTCGAAATTTCTGAAGTAGTTATTAGTTTATTGAACACTTTTCTGGATCCTACTATAGCCATAGTTATTTAAGTTTCCAATGAATTCTGACATTCAGGAAACTAGTCAGGTAGACACCAAAATATTCTATAATTTGGAAACAATAAAACATGCCTTTGGTCTTGGTAAGGTTAGCCTTGGAGCCACGACAATACCTACCACCAGAATTGTGGCCTCATAGACCTCTTACCTGTGAAAAACCTCCAACTTTTTAACACCCAGTTTAGTATTTTGAACTTTGAGAGTACAGGAAGAACCCCCTTATTGCCCAGTTCTAGCTTAGCGCTCTCACAAGAAGTAGGGATACTTTCCACCATTATCCTCGTCGACATCCCTGCTGAACCAGCTCCTCAAGTTCTCTATTTGCGGTTTGATCTTAGATCTTCTTACCACTGTAATTTTGATTGACGAGTTACCAGCAGAAATCGACACAATGTCTTTGAAGTAAGATTTTGGTTATCCTTTCCTTTCCGGCGCCTATCTTCTTCGTTTCAGACACTCTTCCCTTTGAGGTTGATTTGTCCGATGCGCTCGCCTTTACAATAGGTTGCTTAGCTTTGTCTAATTCATTTGTACGATTCTGTCTGAAGAGTAAATTAAGAAAGGTATGCCTTGTCTTTGTTAGTATATTTGAAGACGGTAGCTATTTTTCTTCTTTGGTTTGTTCTCAATGTTCAGTTCTTCGGGAGCTCTTTGCGTCAGGGGAAAGAATCCGTTGTATCCTTCGGAATGTCCTGGTATTAAACAAATATGGTCTTTTGCTACATCTTCTTTAAATTCCTCCCCTGTGCCGCAAATAACGGTTTTTGGTGATCGATAGCTTATATAGTATGAACATCCGCCCGGCTTAGAGATCCCTCCGAATATATCATTCTCTTTAACCACTAAACGTTTGCCAATGGCATGATGTACACTTTGTTCAGCTTCACAGGAGATCTGTTTCTCTTTGAGATAGAGTTTAAAAGGAATCCGATGTACATATCTATCGAATTCATCCGGGGATTAATCCAATATGATCTTTAACTTACTCCTCTTTGACCCGGATAGTCGTTTTTTGGGAGGTCAAAAGCTTAGGTATGCTAACATTCTCTTCTTTCTTATACTTGTTGGGACTAGGTGTTCTTATTATCATCTGAGGATTCGGAATCTGAATCCTCACCCGTATTAAAAAGGCTTAAGACTCCATCCCCGAATACATCATTCTCTTTCAGCTCGACCTTTTTAACACTAACATGCTGTACACTTGGCGCATAATCCGCCACGTAGGCACACTCCCTAGTAGTCTATTCTATATTTATAGTTGAAGGGTTTAATATGATCGAGTACACTTTCTTACTTCCTTTGCTTCCTTCAAATCCTCTGCTAAAGGCACAAAAATTATTAAATTTTTAATAAAATAAATGTAAAAATTGTTAGTTTTTTTAAATAATTTTGCAATTTTTTTACTTAAAAGAATTCTTATGCCAGAGATTTTGTAATAATACACAACTCCTTCTCACACTGAAACTGCTTTTCTCGATAAACACAGATTCAATATCACAAACTCTATCTCTCTCTCCCCTCAGTTCATAAACTCATTCATTTTACACCTCAAATTAATATAAGTTTTCAAATATGATTTCATTTAATTTGCATATTATTTTTATAATTTCATTAATATAATTTTAAATTTATTTTGCGCCATTTTTTTTGTTGTTTTTGTGTTTCTTATGCTAAGTTTAAAATTAGAAGTGACAGAAACTTAACTGCAAACAAATGATCTATATTTATTTGTAGATCTGCGTCCTGCTTTCTCGGCATCCGAGGCAAAAATACATACAAATCCAAATTGTGAAGAGCTTAAAATCTTATTAGACAAACAAGACACAACCATCACCACCACCACCACCACCACCACCACCACTATAACTGCTATAGCTACTAAAACAGAAGCACATGATGCGAAAAATGAACATGATCAAGAAAATTCACCAATTAAAGAAACCACCTCTCTACTGGAGCAGAGTGGCATACAAGATGCCATTGAAGCGACCAATGAAGCCGTTATTGTAACATCTCCCTCATCGGTGAATGGCAAAACTACAGGGTGTGGAGGTAACTGCTTTAAAACGGGCAAGAAATGTAAGAAACGTTGGATCTCTAACAATTCCGATAAGAATACCCCACAAATGTCGGAAATCTATTGTCCTACATGTGAAGATTTTGCCAATGAAACGCCGGCCTGTTTGAATAAAATGCCGGATAAGAAATCGAAATTAAAGCCAAAAACTATACTAAGTGTGGAAAGTGAGTTGGTGGTAACGAAACGGGGTAGTCTGAAATTTACAGATAAGAAACCCAGCTCTACTATAGGTAGAAGTTCTTCTCTCACGACAGCAGATCGTAGATTAAAGAAACCGGAAATTATATTAAATAAAAAAGATAAAACTAAAGCCAAAGACAAGGAAGAGAAAACAAAAGAGTCCAATAAAGAGATCAAAGAGAAAGTAAAAGAAAGAACTGCCAAAACAAGTCTCTTAGCTAAAGTATCACCCAAAAAGTTAAGAAACCAAAAGGCTCTTAGTAACAGTAATAACACTAATGAGAAAACTAAAACAGCAGCTAAAAACAAAAAGGAAAATATCAATAATAATCCGGAAACGAAAATAACTAAAACAAACAAAAAACCCGAAGAACCAAGAAAAGACTCAAATGATTCTTGTCAAGAATATGAAATAGCAGATGATGCTATATCTCTAAATGGTGGCGGGGATATAACACAGGTTTCCGAAGGTGTAGCTAAAATGGTAATACTAACCGAAACGGACTCTATGATTACAGTTAGAGGCAAAGAAGAATTACCGGTAGTAGAACAAACACCCAATAGCGCACAATCCTCGCCCATACCTCTATCACCCTCCTCCAATTCGAATTCCAATGATAGTGAAGCCATCAAACCACAAACCACTACAATGTATCAATTTGAAAAATGTGTTCGTGTACCTGTAACCGCAGACAGCCATCCATTGCAACCAATAAATAATACTGATTCAGAAACTGAAACCTCTAAAAATGATAATAATTCCTCATTACATAACCCAAACTTGAATGCTGGCCAAACAACTGACGAACTGACCACCAGATCATCACCTCACTCTAGACCAGCCTCGTTAAATGATTGTAATGGTAATTGTAATAATAATTCTGCCTCGTGTAGCACTTCACCCTTATCACCGCCCTCGGCGGAAGCTGAAGATTTACAACAATCTGCCAATTTTGCTTCAACATTGCCACGTACTAAACGTACGGCCGCCATGCAAGCATTTTATAATCGTGCAATTAATTTAGTACCCAAAAGACGTACACCAGATGGTACCACCATTTACTATTGGTGTGATTTACCTAAGAAATCATTAAAAGGTGATGAATATTTTAAAGGTTAATTGTTGTTATGAGTTTTTAATGTTTTAAAAGATCTGGAAATATTTTTCTCGACTTGATTAGTTAGCATTATTATAATGTTCTATTTTACTTGTTTATTTACAGAACTCGATGATGGTGCTTATAATCCCTTGTGGGCTAGTCGTGGTTTTGCCCAATCATTTCATTTTTGGAAAGAAAACCGCCGCCAACAGTCAACTCCATTAAATGCATTCCTTACTTATGTTACACTGCCTTGGTGGAGTATAGCTAAAGGTAAGAATTTTAATTTCAGTACGGATTGATAGGTTAGCAGGTTGTCCTCGTAGTGTCGACACTGGGGACACACTGGGGACACACTTGGGTCCAAGACGTTGACCCTTTTGTAATAACTGAAAAGACAGAAACGCTGTAAGACCCAAGTATTCGTTTGTCGCAGGAATGAAGGAACTTAAAAGTGAAGATAACAGGAGTGCCACTAACTAACTAACTAGCTAACTAACTAACTAACTAACTAACTAACTAACTAACTAACTAACTAACTAACTAACTAACTAACTACTAACTAACTAACTACTAACTACTAACTAACTAACTAACAACTAACTAACTAACTAACTAACTAACTAACTAACTAACTAACTAACTAACTAACTAACTAACTAACTAACTAACTAACTAATAACTACTAACTAACTAACTAACTAACTAACTAACTAACTAACTAACTAACTAACTAACTAACTAACTAACTAACTAACTAACTAACTACTAACTAACTAACTAACTAACTAACTAACTAACTAACTAACTAACTAACTAACTAACTAACTAACTACTAACTAACTAACTAACTAACTAACTACTAACTAACTAACTACTAACTAACTAACTAACTAACTAACTAACTAACTAACTAACTAACTAACTAACTAACTAACATAACTAACTAACTAACTAACTAACTACTAACTAACTAACTAACTAACTAACTAACTAACTAACTAACTAACTACTAACTAACTAACTAACTAACTAACTAACTAACTAAACTAACTAACTAACTAACTAACTAACTACTAACTAACTAACTACTAACTACTAACTAACTAACTAACTAACTACTAACTAACTAACTAACTAACTAACTAACTAACTAACTAACTACTAACTACTACTAACTAACTACCTAACTAACTAACTAACTAACTAACTAACTAACTACTAACTACTAACTAACTAACTAACTAACTAACTAACTAACTAACTAACTAACTAACTAAGTAACTAACCAACTAACTAACTAACTAACTAACTAACTACTAACTAACTAACTAACTAACTAACTAACTAACTAACTAACTAACTAACTAACTAACTAACTAACTAACTAACTAACTAACTAACTAACTACTAACTAACTAACTAACTACTACTAACTAACTAACTAACTACTAACTAACTACTAACTACTAACTAACTAACTAACTACTAACTACTACTAACTAACTAACTAACTAACTAACTAACTAAACTAACTAACTAACTAACTAACTAACTAACTAACTAACTAACTAACTAACTAACTAACTAACTAACTAACTAACTAACTAACTAACTAACTAACTACTAACTAACTAACTAACTAACTAACTAACTAACTAACTAACTAACTAACTAACTAACTAACTAACTAACTAACTAACTAACTAACTAACTAACTAACTAACTAACTAACTAACTACTAACTAACTAACTAACTAACTAACTAACTAACTAACTAACTAACTAACTAACTAACTAACTAACTAACTAACTAACTAAGTAACTAACCAACTAACTACTAACTAACTAACTAACTAACTACTACTAACTAACTAACTAACTAACTAACTACTAACTAACTAACTAACTAACTAACTACTAACTAACTAACTACTAACTAACTAACTAACTAACTAACTAACTAACTAACTACTAACTAACTAACTAACTAACTAACTAACTAACTAACTAACTAACTAACTAACTAACTAACTAACTAACTAACTAACTAACTAACTAACTAACTAACTAACTAACTAACTACCTACTACTAACTAACTAACTACTACCTAACTAACTACCTACCTAACTAACTAACTTAACTAACTACTAACTAACTAACTAACTAACTAACTAACTAACTAACTAACTAACTAACTAACTAACTAACTAACTAACTAACTAACTAACTAACTAACTAACTAACTAACTAACTACTCACTAACTAACTCACTAACTAACTCACTAACTAACTAACTAACTAACTAACTAACTAACTAACTAACTAACTAACTAACTAACTAACTAACTAACTACTAACTAACTAACTAACTAACTAACTAACACTAACTAACTACTAACTAACTAACAACTAACTACTAACTAACTAACTAACTAACTAACTAACTAACTAACAAACTAACTAACTAACTAACTACCTAACTAACTACCTAACTAACTAACTAACTACTAACTAAACTAACTAACTAACTAACTAACTAACTACTAACTAACTAACTAACTACTAACTAACTAACTAACTAACTAACTAACTAACTAACTAACTAACTAACTAACTAACTAATTAACTAACGAACTAACTAACTAATTAACTAAACTAACTAACTAACTAACTAACTAACTAACTAACTACCTAACTAACTACCTAACTAACTACTAACGACTAACTAACTAACTAACGAACTAACTAACTAACTAACTAACTAACTAACTAACTAACTAACTAACTAACTAACTAACTACTAACGAACTAACTAACTAACTAACTAACTAACTAACTAACTACTAACTAACTAACTAACTAACTAACTAACTAACTAACTAACTACTAACTAACTAACTAACTAACTAACTTACTTACTACTAAGGCACATTCCAGAGAATGATTATCACCAAAAATTTGGAAACTTTTCGAACCAAATATTTCGAATTTTGTCTCACAATCCAAAAGTAGTTAAAGAAGTTCGTTCCGGAGCAAAAATCAAATTGTCATGGGAACAATAACCTGTTGGATAAAGAACATTTGGCACAATTACATAACGATATCACAATGGGGCTATTCTTGGGCCCAAGTAAGCTATGCCTATAGCTAAAGACGACTTCTGCATCCCCCTGATTCTTGTTCTGCTAATACCGCATCCTCCTTAATACATTCAGAGAGAATGAAGATATTTAGATACATTATAGCCAAAATACAAGATCTTGTTTTAACAGCGCTTTTTGTCTGCAATCTTTGGCAGATACTTGCGGTGAGTTCACAGATGTCTTGAAAGGACATTATGTCCATTCCTTGGCCTTCAAAAAGAAGAATTAATGCAGCTTTTTTTAGAATTGTAAATTTTAACTTCGATTCAGCAAAGTTTTGATTTTATTTAATAATAAGGTCAATATCTTCTATATTAAAATTATGAGGAAGGTCTTCGTCCTCAGTTTTTTTTTTTTTTTAACAAATCCCAAATAATACCGGGGTTTGATTGGGATTTCATTCTTTCCTCAAATTTAACGAAATATTTCCAAGTTTCTAGTATATTTGCTAGATATTGGTAGATCTTCTTAAGATGCTATGGTTTTGTTGAAATAATATGTATTTCATGGACCGGTTTATATTATGGAATAATGCTGTTATTATACTCGATATACTTCACAATCTTCTACTAAAAGTCGATGCCACCAAAATCGAATAGTTGTAAATCGTTGATAACTTCAAAATTAATTGACCTATTAAAATATAACTTTTGATTTTAGTAGACTATTTTTTCCTAATGTTATGCCAATTCTCTTTCTAAACAGATTTATCCCGGTTCCGAATTCTAAATTTGTATTTCTTTTATCCTTTTAAATCACTCTTCTAATAAAATAATTATATTTTATTTTCTTTGCAGATTTGTTGGATCATCGTGAAACACCCATTTTAACTTTTTAGTATTAAATTATTTTTTTTTGTGTTACTTTTCTAATCGTGTGAGTTTAGGAACATTTCGAATGTGTGAAAAATGTTCTTAAATTTATAGCGATTTCGCATTCCCTATTATTATAATGATATGTGTTTGCTGAACCTATCTATACCAAAATTCTGTGTTTCGATTTGTAATTGAGAATTTTAAAAATATTTTAACTAATAATTTAAAATTAATGAAATACAAAGTTAAATCTTGCCATAAAGCGGAAACATTAAAAGATTCCAATTATAATGAGGATTTATTAATATAAAACGAAAGTTGCTTTTATGAAGCAGTGCTATACTATATGTTGTTTTCGAAACACAGAATTTAATGGAATTGTTTTAGACTTAATATCGAATTCCTTGAAAGAATTAACAAAAAGATTTTAAAAGCATATTATAATTTAAAAAAGAGTTTAAAATTAACCTTAACCATTTCTTAATTGATCTTTTGCCACATTTATTCTAAAATATTTTATATTTTTTTATTATTTTTTAAGGTTATCCATTGTCTCGTAATACGAAAAGTAATTTTTTTCTCAATATTTTCTCTCTAATTAACTTTCACTCAATTTCGTTTTACGTTTACAAAGGGATTGTGATGTTTATTTTTTATAAAGTGTTAATTTTTTATAATTTATATGTATAATTTATTAATAAGTTTAATTTTCTATTTATGTACTTAATTGGCTTAAACGATTTTAGATAAAATTACATTTATTTTCATATAATTATTACAATGATTCCTAAATTTAACTTACAAATTATTATATTATATTATTAAGCATATAATCATCATACATACATATTTACATACATATAAATTAAATTATATGAAAAAGTGTTAATTTGTGTAATGAATTATGTAGAATGGAAATTGATGTTATGAATTTTCGTTTGCGTTAAACAAAAATCTGAAAATTTTGTAATAAGAGAGGAAAGATCCAATACATACGATCGTGTGAAACTTCACTCAATCCAATTGCAAATTTTATACATAGAGAACGTATTGTCAGCGTATTTTATAATTAGCCAAGATCCCGATAATTTCCTAACTTTTTCCTCTAGTTTCAGTTCAAATCAATTAAAATTTGAAATATTTTAAAATTCATTCTTAGAACAAAAACTATTTCAGGTAGTATTTTCAGGCTGAAATGTTTTGAATAATAACTGTATAGGAATTTTTGTCGATAGCTTGAGACCATCATGAAGCTCTAGCAATGATCGTGACTTACCATTACCTATTGCATAGGAAATATTATATTTTGAGATCGGGAACCGTTGCAATACTGTGTTTGATAGCCAGAACCGTCCAGCCGTCCAGGACTTTTCACAACTTCAGTGTTATTGTCTGGATGTGGAGTGGATTTTGAGAGCAACATTTCGGTGAGCAGAGAGTTGGCTGCCATTACATGTCACATAGAGAATATTATATGTTATTGTCTGTCTTTGGAAGGGGTTGTGAGAGCATCATCTCGCTGAACAGAGAGTTGGCTGCTTTATTCCCAGAAACTCTTATACTTATGCGTCCCTAATCCAGAAAATCAGCATATACCAAGACATAACCTAATTCCATCATGGCTAGGATAAGGCACGTATAATCTTCGCCTTGTTCGTCCTAGATGATCGATCAGTCATCCATATGAATGTTAAAGTTCTGGAGCTTCAAGCACTGAAACTCTTACAATTGCATCCCTAATCCCGAAGATCAGCATATACCACGCTTTCTCAAACTCGACATAACCTAATTCCATGATGGCTATGTTAAGTCCTGATCGATCTATCATCCATATTGTAATATACAAATCTGGTAGCCTTTATTAATAATCAAATCTGGCAACCTTGAGCTGTCAAATATGTAAAAAATTAATTGTTACATGGATTTCTACGAGCACGTGCAAGCTCCTTTTTTTTATAATAAATTATCTATATTTTAAGAAACAACTAAACGTGCATTTAATTAATTGTCAACGACCACCACAGATTGGCGACGAGGTCAACCAAAGTCTTAAAAATGGATAAAGATCAATTTGCTGCTTTCATGCAGATGCAACACAACTTAGTTACACAGGTAATGCAAATGGCGGCACAGGGGCAGAACACGGTGCAAGGTGCTGCCAACACAAGTGCCACTACTACTGCTTTATTACCAAATTTTGAACCGTTTGACTCTTCCAAAGAGTCATTCAGGAATTACATCCAAAGGTTCAAAAATTATACGGAAATGAAAGCAATTTCTACAAACAACGAGTACTGTGCCAAACTGTTGTTAAATTCAATAGGAGCAAAGCTTTTTAATATGGTAAGCGCTTTAGCAGCACCAAAGGCACTAAATGAGGTTCAGTACGGAGAGTTACTGCAACTGTTGGAGACACATCTCTCTCCAAAAAAGAATGTGCTGGTGACACAACACCAATTTTTGTCGAAATACCAATCGGAAGGACAGTCCATTGCCGAATTCGTGGCAGCATTGCGAGCCGAAATCGGGGATTGCGAATTTGTGTCGGCATGTAAATGCAAAGCATCAGTAGCGGACATATTTTTACGGGCCCAATTTATACGGGGAATTTATGATAACAACATGCGGGAACAACTTCTACAATCAGGATCGAGCCAATTTGAGGATGTTGTGGCAAAGGCGATTGCTATTGAGGCGGCTAAAGCTGATTCAAAAGAAATGACGATGAGATCGAGTACAACAACAACTATAAATCAAGTTTCCAAACGTAAAAATCATAAATACAACAATAAAGCTGGGCAATCGTCGAAAACACAACAACCACAAGGTAAAATTGATTACAAAAAATTGGGCATAGATGGCTTATGTTTGCGGTGTGGTAGAAGTAATCATTTCGCTAAAGACTGCCACACAGATAAGGACAAATTAAAGTGTACCGGGTGCAACAAAAAAGGTCACATCGTTAAGGTCTGTATTGCTACGTTGAGTAAGTCATCAAATGGGAGAACCCCACAAAAGAACTATTCAACAAACCAAATACATCAGGATGAAGATTATGGCGTTTATAAGGTAATCGACGTTTACCAAAACAACAACAATTCTACAAATGCTGAACGATACTATACAGACATCGATATAGAAGGTAAAATGGTAAAGTTCGAAGTGGACTCTGGGTCAGGTTTTACATTTTTGCCCAGGGGTCAATTTAACAAGCTACAATTGGACACACCAGTGGTTCCCACCAATATTGCGTTTCGTTCGTATACTCAAACAACATTTATACCTGACGGGAAAATAAAAGTAAAAGCAAGATACAACAACTCAACTATATTCGATGATATTTACATTGTTCCAGATGGCTGTTCAGCATTAGTGGGTCGCTCGTGGATCAGACGGTTAAACATAAATTTAAATGACCTGGACAACAATAGTAAAACAACAAATACAGCTGATATTAATCAGGTAAGCGTTATCGATGAAATTATACATGAATTTTCTGAGGTATTCCAAGAAAAAATTGGTTGTACACGACAATACAAAGTTTCGTTACAATTACGTGAAGGTGTCAAACCAATTTATAACAAAGAAAGACAAATCCCATATTCCTTAACGGAACGAGTTGAAAAGGAACTAGATGTGTTGGAACAAGCTGGGATTATATCCAAAACAACGAATAGCGATTGGGGGTCGCCCCTGGTAGTAATACCTAAAGCTGATGGGGGGGTCAGACTGTGTGTAGATTATAAGGTCGGCGTAAACCAACGTCTAATTGATGCACACTACCCAATTCGTAAAATCGATGACATTTTTAATAGCCTTCGGGATTCAAGGTATTTTTGTAGACTCGATTTGTATAAGGCATATTTACACATACCAGTAGACGAACAGTCGAGTATAATACAAACAATTTCAACTCATCGGGGTACATATAAAATGCAACGGTTATCATTTGGCATTAAAACTGCCCCCGCAGAATTTAACAGAATTATTGACCAGATATTAAGGGATGTACCGAAAACAGAGTCGTATTTCGACGACATAATTGTACATGGAAATTCAATGGAAGAGTGCATTTCTCATTTAAAAACTTGCCTTGGACAGTTGAAACGTTTCGATTTACACCTTAACCGGGGCAAATGTTCGTTTTTCAAAGAAAGTATTGAATTTTTGGGTCACATTGTTGAATTTAATTCGATAAAGAAATCTCCATCAAAAGTTTCGGCAATTCTTAACATGCCTACACCAAACACGGTTGACGACGTTAGAAGGTTCTTAGGGATGGTAACGTACTACGCACGCTTTATACCTAAAATATCTACAACAACTACACCCTTAAGACACCTCTTGAAAAAAGATTCAAAATTTAACTGGACCAATAAATGTGAAGATGCGTTTAACACACTGAAAAGAGAATTGGCCAGTGAAAGAGTATTGGTACCCTACAACCCTAGTTTAAAAATTCAATTGGCATGTGACGCAGGTCCAACAGGTATAGCGGGTGTCTTATCACACATATTCGATGGGGAAGAACGGCCAATCGCGTACGCGTCTAGGGCATTGACGCCCGCCGAACAAAATTATTCTCAGCTGGATAGAGAGGCGCTATCAATTGTTTTTTCTGTTCAACACTTCCATGAATATTTATTCGCGCGTCAATTCGTACTCATAACGGACAATCAGCCGATTATGAGAATTTTTCATCAAACAGCAAAACTGCCTCAAATGACGTCTGCCCGATTACAACGATATGCAGCGTATTTATCTGGTTTTAATTATGAGATACAAGTCAAAAAAGGGGTCGACAACACTAACGCGGATTGTCTCTCCAGAGCGCCCGATATTACAACAAATTTCGCCGAATGTTCTATCAATAGAGAAGTACATCTTATATGTAATGAAAGTATTAATCATATTAGTAATTCGAAAATCAATTTTCAATCACTCCGTGATGAAACCCGTAAGGATAAACACATTTCACAAATCATAATGAAACTACGTAACAACAACAAAAACGATAATGACAATGATATCGATCCAGAATTTACAGTTGATGAGGACGTGCTTTTCAGAGGTCAAAGAGTAGTAATCCCTGAAATCCTACAACCATACGTGTTACAGGAACTCCATTATACGCACTTAGGCATCACTAAGATGAAACAACTGGCACGCCGCTATGTATACTGGAAGAACATTGACAAGGACATTGAAAATTTGGTGCGATCATGTCCGTCATGTGCGTTAGTAAAAAGTTCTCCAGCTAAAGCGGAACTTCATCCGTGGGAAGAGCCTGATGGAAATTGGCAACGCATACACATAGATTATGCCGGTCCTTTTCAAAATAATTTCTTTCTGGTGGTAATGGACGCGAAGTCGAAATGGGCTGAAATCGGTATTAGCCGAACAGCACCGTCGTCATTGTCGACAATAGAAATTCTAGAAGAAATATTTTCGAGAAATGGATATCCAAACGTTCTGGTATCAGACAATGCAACAATTTTTACAAGCGAGGAATTCAAAACTTTTTGTAAAAACTGCGGTATTTTTCAAAAGTTTATAGCGCCAGGCCACCCAGCCATGAATGGGTTGGCAGAGAGAAATGTACAAACTCTAAAACACAAATTA